CCTGCTTCTCTCATTATGGCTCTGTTGACCGCTTCCGAAATTTGCACTCCCATATTCTGAGTTTTCTTACTTCCACGCTAGCTTTGCGACGGCTCTCTGTTCAGGAGTCCACCTGAACGTCTTTCTTCAACGACTCATCCATTTTTCTATTGAAAGCTCCTTTCCTGTCTAGGGATAACAAAGAGGGTAATCCACGGTGACTGAAGTGATTCCAGCAACTCGAGCCGCGCGGAGGTTGGGAGGGGAGTTCAATGCCCCCCGGCAAGAAAAGAAGCTCGGCATTCATGCAGAAAAAAAAGGGGGACTTTCGCACAACGGGATGGTTCCACACAACGGGGTGAGGCGGGTGTTGTTGGGTGGACTTGGTTGCATTCTTCCCCTTAGAACAGCAATGGTTCTTGCTGTTCGGGAAACCCTCGAGCCGCGAGGAGTGGTAAGGCCAGTGCACGACTACACACAATGCTGACGGTCATGCCCTCGACGAAGATGTTGCTCCTTCTAGTAGTCGTGGTGGCGGCCATGGTTGCCGCCGGCTCTGCGGCGGATTCGGTGGCTTTCAAGGATTGTGGTAAGCACGCAACCTTTAAAAGTTGTTCGTATGAGTGAACCTATACTTGCATATGCGACAATTTATATTGCACGAGTCAGTTCTCTTTCATGCGTGACAGAGCTCTTGGATTGAAATTTCCCGGGTACACGCAGATCTTGTCACATTGCACTACTGTGGACAGCACGACGCTTGCAGACGAGTCGCATGGTCTTGGCACATTGCAACTCCCACAGGCACGGTGCAAGAAAGCTCGGATTTCATTTTACGCAGCGTACACAACTAATAATGCAGTGAACGGCTCTGTGAGCAAATATGTATGCAAGCGTAACTGCTGGGTGTGAGAGAATTAACTATGAACAATCAGCGATAGCATCTACGCGAATACAACAGCGTATCATTCTGGGTTGCTCCTGAAGATCAACAAGAGATCATGAATATTTAGAATATTTATTTCATCAAATCTTTGCGCGTGAGTCTATTACTGCTGCTTGATGTCACCAAAAATGCTCGCCTTCCGAATTAAGCGACCTTACTTGCCGCGCTCCCGACGTACTACCGTAAATACGGTTGTTCCGGTGGGACGCGTGATTACTCGTTTCCGTGACAACGGGTACAAACACGGGGCCAGTAATTTTGCCTGACCCTGCACAAGAGGGTTGTAACTGTAGGGGCCTCTAGCGTCGACGGTTGGTGAAGTAGCACACTTTTGACGAGAACAAAGGAAACAAAGACGTGAAACTGTTCGTGTCTTGTCTTGCTCAACCATTTTTTCTCTTAATAAGTATGATCATAAGCTACACAGGCGTAACTTCTGTAAAGCAGTATTGTAGTGAGGTACCCTCTAACCGTGTGTTGACACGTGACCGTGAGACAGAACTCTATATAACAGAGAACTGGTGTCCACATTTTGCCATTTGGGGATGACTATGCACAATCTCCCCAATGCTATTTACCGCGTGCTTACAGGAGGTTTTCAGAAGCCTAGAATGGGAACAGTAAGGGATAAGAGTTAATGGAGAATACCTTAGTAACCTGCGCTTCGCCAATGACATTGCATTGCTGAGTAACTCAGGGGACGAATTGCAACTCATGATTACGGAGTTAGACAAGGAGAGCAGAAAGGTGGGTCTTAAAATTAATCTGCAGAAAACGAAAGTAATGTACCACAACCTGGGAAAGGAGTAGCGCTTCGAGATAGGTAATAGTGCACTTGAAGTTGTAAAAGACTATGTCTACTTAGGGCAGGTAATAACCGCAGAGCCTAACCACGAGATTGAAGTAACTAGAAGAATAAGAATGGGGTGGAGTACATTCGGCAAGCACTCTCAAATTATGACAGGTAGATTGCCACTATCCCTCAAGAGGAAGGTATATAACAGCTGTATCATGCCGGCACTTAGCTACGGAGCAGAAACCTGGAGACTTACAAAGAGGGTTCAGCTTAAATTGAGGACGACGCAGCGAGCAATGGAAAGAAAAATGGTAGGTGTAACCTTAAGAGACAAGAAGAGAGCAGAGTGGATTAGGGGACAAACGGGGGTTAAGGATATCATAGTTGAAATAAAGAAGAGGAAATGGACATGGGCCGGGCATGTAGCACGTAGACAGGATAACCGCTGGTCATTAAGGGTAACTAACTGGATTCCCAGAGAAGGGAAGCGGGTTAGGGGGAGACAGAAGGTTAGGCGGGCAGACGAGATTAAGAAGTTTGCGGGTATAAATTGGCAGCAGCAAGCACAGGACCGGGTTAACTGGCGGAACATGGGAGAGGCCTTTGTCCTGCAGTGGACGTAGTCAGGCTGATGGTGATGATGATGGGTACGTTGTATGTTGCTGGAATAATGGCGCCAAATCCCCTTCAGTAATTACTGATACGTGAGATGTGCCAAAGGGCTTCTTTCTAATGGAAATGTTAGCTGGTATTCCGTATTACCTAATCACCTCCCACCCCCTCGCTTCTACCTACGTCATTGCCTCGGTCCGTCCAGGAGTAAACTTCCCTGCCTGCGACTCGTTAGCTGAAGCCAGTTTGAGACCCCTGAACTAAAGGTTGCGTTGAGCATATAGGAAGGTTGCTGCACTGAGCACAGTCTTCAAGAAAAAAAACAAACTTGAAAGGTCTTGCACGGCTGATGTAAAAAATTATGCGTACAAAAGGACATACAAACCGAAGTGATAAAAATTTGTCTTGCTCATGTTTTTTTTTTTTTTCAAGTCTTTGCGCTAGTCGGCATCAGCCAAGCCGTATGTTTTGTGTACGAGGAACCGGGAAGTTCGGGACACTCCTGTTTGAAGGGCCGCGTGGGATAGTTGAGGAAGCTTACAATAGTAAAGAACGACTCAAAGCGGGGGGGCCTCCGATAGAAAACCGGAAGGTGAACAAAAGAATGCAAGAATTTTCCCCCCTCGCTTGACGGTAATCACGTGTTCCGGCAATCGAGAGCGCGCCTACCATTTTAAGCTGCGTGCGCGCGTGTGTGTCCACACGCACATACACACAGAGAGAAGTGCAGGCTCCTTCAAAACAGACAAAAAGCATAAAACATGTTCACTCACAGCAGGAGATGAGCGAGGTACTTAAGGAGTAGCAAGAAAAGCGATAAAAACAACTAAATCGGGACTGTTTGTCGTTTTAGTGGCCCAGTGTGGTCGCACTGAAGGTGTTTCATGCATAAAAGGCTTTTGGCGTGCTGAATTAGCGTTCTCTGTTTTCACCGGCTGTCATCCATTTTCGATATTTTCACACTGGTGTGGATTATGACTATGAATATTATATTATGTTGTTCTCTGGGACATGTATCATACTAAAAAAAAAAACGTTTTTGTGCATGCATGAGCATAAAACAGCGTTATTTGGTATCAGAATAAGTAATACGAAGAAATTTCCCAAGGCTAAAAATATAGAATGCTGTCCTTTCTTACAAGAATTCCTTCACCTCAGCTTGTGACTGATGAGCGGTATACTGTCACCTCTTGCACTGAAATTGGGCAACTGTTCGTAGGCGTGTTCAGAGTTTTCCAGTCAGTAGGGGGACTGGTGTAGACTTGGTAGTACACCTGGCCACTTGGTCTCCACCTCAGGTGACACCCCACCTCCCTCAAATAATAATTTATGAGAATCCAAACCACATTTCCTATTAGCAATCAAGGCCAAACATTTCTGGTGCCCATGAAATCCCCGGGTGTGGCCGTCCTTGCGTCTCACTATGTGTATCATAACTTTGTCACACACGATGAACTGCTCGATCGGGTCTAAGTGAACGGCATAGACGTATACATACAACTGTCGTCGCATGCGAGGGCACTCCACGACAGTACGAGCTTTATGTAAAATGGTAGCCGAATCACTCACTTCTGCCGAACATGGGCTTTCGCCCGTAGAGCCACAGGAACGACATTTATGTGCTGTGGACGTTTCCGGGAATTCTTCTTCTTTGGCTACGACAGGCCGCTGCGGCCTGTGCCATTGGAGCACGTGCAAACGGCGGGTGATCTTGACGATGATGAGAAGCCCCTCCGCGTCCACATAAGAGGAGTGTATTGGCAGAGAAAAGATCACAGCGTGAACATGTACGGGCGTCGGCAGGATTTTGTCTTGTGCGATTGCCAACCCGTGATACAACGGCGCTGCAGAGGGCAAGAAAAAAAGTGAGAGGGGGGGGGGGATTGCAGTTCGGAGGCCGAGAAGTAGGTGCTGGTCGAGGATAGTTCACTCAGTTATAATTTATTGACCCCCCCCCCCCCCCCCCACACACACACACGCGCGCGCGCGCATCTAGGCGAAAATAGTCTGCTACCTTAGCCCCCCTTAATTAAAGTCGTGACAGCCAGTTGATTCTAACACGCATATATCGCAGCAAGCGTTTGAAAGCGTGCCTTGCATCTACCGCAGGACATGGAAATGTGAGAAGAGTGAAAATATTGGGCTGCAAGAAACAGCCGTGCCACATCAAGATTGGCTCAAGAGTGACCTTTGAGGCTTCGTTCGTCGCACGTGAGTAGATAGATCGATATAATGATGATACCGTTACCCGAATCGCATTTACCTAATAATTGTATAAAATGTTTTGTGTTGCGCAGTTTCAAGCGCTTACGTTCGCCCCTTCGCGCGTTTGTTGGTTTGTCATGAGCGATGTTTGAATGCAACCGCACGTGGATCCCATGTCAATTAATATGACAAGTCAAACGTAAAGTTTAGCAAGCTAATATAGCTATACAAACCAATAAATAACTTAATTTCTATAAAGCCAGCCTGGCTTCATTTACTTTTCTAATATTTTGCGACACCTTTTTTAAGTATTATTTGTTGCGTTGAGCTGCCGTACGGACATTTCCTCACATTCTTGCGTGCCTGCGCATCGAGTGGAGCAGTCGCGATACTAATTTTTTTTCATGTTTGTATGAATGCGAACAGTACGTAATGAAGTGTGCATGCTCGCAGCGTTCAGCAGCTCTTCAGCGGTCAACGAAATCGGCGCATACATCGAGCGACACAGATTTCAGCTCCCGGAACCACACGTGGACGCCTGCACCAGCGGTCACATCAACCCCTCCTGTCCCATGCGCAAGGGCAACGTGTACACCTACCGCTACACGCTGCCGGTCCGGGAGATCTATCCTGCGGTGTGTGTGCATTATATATTATCTCCCCCCTGTAGACTGACAGCTTCACTGCACAATACATTGGCAACTATGTCATGTGCACCCGCGAACAATTTTACGTCAGCACGCGGCATTTTAAATATTTCAGAACTACACATATAGTCGATTGATTAACCGATTGAAGTAACTGTATTGATGTCTTCATATAAATGCGTAGCCGCCGGACAAACACGTGCAGAGTGAGGTTCGTAAACAAAACAAATGTGTCATATAAAAAAGAAGTTCGTGCATGTATTCCAGCAAACATACCTAGAGCAAAATCCAACCGCTAATTAGGGCTGCCGAGGTATGTGAGTGGCCGGTTCTTGGAACTAACACCTTCGTAAATATTGCATTTTCAGACGCCAGCGACAATTGAATACAAGCTGGTCACTCGAGAAGGTAAGGTCATTGGGTGCAGCCACGTTCCTGTCGTGATCTTCAGATGATGGGAGATGGTTTCACCAAATATTCAACGCAGTGAAGTTCACGAAGGTATTATGACCGCCGTCGTTTGAATAAATATGAATGTAGTCAAAACCCGAGAGTTTGTGTTTAATTTTGTAAATACCGCACTCAGTTTCGGTTTCTGTTGTCGTGAGCAAATAGCAAGCAACAATTCGAGCCAATCCAAAGACGACCAACCAATCGATAAGGCCGCCACAAGATGGCAACACCGTCCTTGCAAAACATAAGCAGCGAAATAACAAACATAAGTAGCTGTAGCACAACAACGACAAATAGGAGACAAAAGACAGCAGCGGGAATGCTAACGATAGACGACAAGGCGCAGGCTTGTGACCCGTTGAACAAAGGTGCGTCGAAAAAGCAAGGAGCCGATGCGTACGCGGTGCATTCAACCGGAGTCGTCAAGATGATGCGCAAACGAAGTAGCGAGCCCGTCGAATTCTGCGCGGATGTGGGCTTCGGCAGCAGCGGCAGCGGCGTGGTCACCAAACGCAAGTTTACGGCCCACTTGAAGTTTGCAGACATTGACGCAGCCATGCTTCAGTGGGTTTTGGAAAAGACATCCGAGAAGGTTCCGCTCTCTGACAGTGCCATACAGGCGAAAGCCAAACAACTTGCACAGGTCTTGGGCACCACGGACTTCAAAGCGTCCAATGGCTGGCTGTACAAGTTCAAGGAGAGGCACGGCTTCGCGCTCAAGAGCGGATCCAAAGAGGAGGGAAATCGCGGCACGCTCGAGGACATGGGAGCAGGTGTCTGTGGTCTGGGCAACTACCACCACGCGCTTCTCGACCACGATCCTGTCCGTGTTTACAGCTGTTGCGAGACGTCCATTCTTTACAAGAGAGCACCATTCGGCAACGGCTGCGAGCCCAGCCCCGAAAGCTGTTCGCCCGACGACCGGCTCACGGTGCTGCTGTGCTGCAACGCCAGTGGCACTCACAAAATCAAGCCGCTGGTTATCAACAGCCAGCGCGAGACCCAGGAAGTGCGTGACAACATGACCAAATTGCCCGTCACGTACGCCTGGCAGCGGTCGTCTTTCATGACAAGCAACATCTTCCAGCAGTGGCTTTGGGAGTTCGAGAAGCAGGTGGAGCACAACTCCGTGCTTATCCTCGATACCTGCCCTGCGCACGTGAGCGTCCAGTCGGACCGCGTCAAGTTGCTCTACGTGCAGTCCAACATGCGCGAGCTGCAGCCTCTCTACGGAGGCGTCCTAAATCTCTTCAAATGCAAGTACAGGGCAGATCTGGTGGTACACTATCTCAATTTCCCCGACCTGAGCAATCGGATCTCCATTCTGGATGCCCTGCTCCTTCTGGGCGAGGCCTGGAACCACGTGCCGCGTGAGACCATCGTCAACTGCTGGGTGCGTTCGCAGCTGCTGCCAGTTCGCATGTGTGCTGGTCGCTCACAGAATGGCGAAAGTGACCCCATGGACCAGCTATGCTCGTCACTCATGAAGGTGCGCCCCGACATCACGCGCAAGGACGTTGAAGACTACCTGCACTGCGACGATTCGTGCTCTACAACCTACAGCTTCAGCGAGGAGGCCATTGAGAGCGCAAAGCCAGGCATCACCGAGGCACCTCCTCACTCACAGTACCAGCATGGTGGCTGTCCTACCAACCTGCGTCCTGGTGAAATACTGGGTATGCTTGATAAAATGGAGCATTTTTTCACACACCAGGCACTGACCAGCACCACCGACTTGCTGGCGATTCACAGCCTCCGAAGCAAAACTATACAGATAGCCAGCAACGACTTTCAGATTGAATGATTCACCGTCTTCCTTCCTTATTGATCCAGGCAGCCTTTCTTTTTTTTTGACGAGGTAGCTGAAGTTACAATGTAGAATGGTCAGCGCTGATAAGCCCCCAGCACTGCCGTGCCTTCTTGGCACTTAGCATTTCTCAATAGCCCAGCCAATATCACATGTAGTTGCTGATGCGATAGGTGGCTCTTCATGTCACTTGCACGGGTGGCTTGCATGCGACTTCTCAGCAGCCATATTGGAGCACCACGTGGCACCGCTACTGTATTACATGTAATGCTCCGCTTGTGATGTCAGTGGTCTTCCCAAAATGGCTGACGTAATGTCTGTGCAAGTCATTGTTGTCACATGTTGACTACTTAGGTAAGGACAAACCCTATTCCAACCATGGAACCTGTGTTTAACATAGTCAGGGTAGCATCAATACTTGATTTATATTGTGTAGTAAATATGCACATGTAGATGATCTAGGCCTCATAATGAGCTTTTTATTCCAAGGGGCACCAAAGCCATTGAAAACTGCACCCAGTTGTTGCAATCGCATGTTAACTCCATCCAACTGCAAAATGCTCTGAAGGCATGAGGTTTTCTGGGGCACAATCTTATACCTGTCCTAAATGTGAACTAACGTTTGGTCGCATGAATTTGGTTGAAACTCGCGCTAACATCAGCTATTCCTCGATCCTTGCCTATCTTGCGTGGCCAAAGCGCTCGTTTGTTTTTAGAAGTAGTTCAGAATTGCAAGCCTGGGCAACTGAGACAAGGAATCACTATGGACAGAAATGCATGTTTTATATAGAAATAAGTGAGCATTCTATATGTCTTGCTTTTTTCAGTGGTAGTGTCTTGGCAACCAAGACCATGGAAGCTATGCAATGCTTGAACAAAAAATATATATATGTATACATATCATCATTTGAATTGCATGACACTTTAATCACGTGGTACAGGCATTCATGTTTTACTTTGCCCCATTCCGGTCTTGAATATTTTCAGCGAGATTAGTCTATCTTTGAACAAGGAAGCCCATTTGCTGACAAACTGAGCATCTGGTGTAGTCTCATACTTCCATCAAGTCTTCCACTAAAAGCAATTCAGTGCTATTCATTATAGTATAAATTCTTTTTGGGCTCAGAATGCATAGCACTCTCACAAAAAAATATTGAACGGGGGCTAGTGGGGAAAGCTGCATTGGCTCAGTTTTGGTGTGCTTGTATAAATGGTGCACAATTAATGCTAACTAGCATTAATTGTTCATAAATTGGTTAATTAACTAAAGGTTTGTCCAAAGGATGAACATCACCTATTTATTTTTTTTAGTTGTGCCTGAACGTCATCAGTAGGTTACATATTTTTTTTATTATAAAATGGCACAGAACTGATTGGACATTGCTCCTGCTCTAAATCATTTTAACAAGGAGAGAATCGTCGCTATTTAGTGAGTGAACAGTGCAGCTTGCAGACGGTCCACGTGCCCACGTTACATCCATGCTGTACAAAGCATGTTTTAGCAGCTTTTTGTATTTCAATGTTATAAATACAGTACCAGTAATCATCCGAATTTAAATTTCTTTACTGCTGCTCTCCTTGTTGCCCCATCTTAGTTTATTGACTTTTAACATCATTCCAACTGCTGGATATTGAGAAAGTAGAAACAGCAGCTGTTGAAGTATACAAACGTTTTTTTTTTTGTCAATTGAGCATTTTAGTCAGGTATCAATAATGCCAGGACCATGCCACTAAGTATTATTTTTGTAGTCCTCTTAAGTTCCTATTGTTTACACCAGTGAGTTGTCACTCATATAACCACAGGCATTTTACATTCATATTGAATATCTCTCTCTATCGTTTTTGTATACGTTCCTATGTTTGTTTCAAAAAATGACTAGTGTACGCATTTTGTTTTCTCGTGGCATTATTATACATTGTTCCTCATTTTACCATGGTTTTTATGTGCGCAATTATACTTGTCTTGTAATGATGGATCTTTTGTTACACTTCTTTTTTCCTGTGTGATTGATTATTGTGCCTGCAAGATTATTTTTACTGTGTAAAATCTGCAGCTCCGAGACGAGAATGCAGGTTGTAGATCACAAGTCTGCTTAATTGTATGGCAGCAAGATGATATGGCTGCTACATAATCTGTTTGCTGGTGATAGGCTAACAACAGATATCACACATCAAAGCTTATCGCTTGGAAACTGTATATAACGTCCTAAATACCAAAATCTATGCAGCAACTTAAATACAATGTTTTAGCATTACCGGGCAGCCACGTGCAAGAAAGAATTCACGCAAAGGTGTCGTGCTAGTGGCTTTCTACATGCATGTAGTTTTCATACAGAATTTACAGCATTTAGGGAGTAGTTATCTATGCAGTTTTATCTGTTTTGACCCACACAAATTTACATGAGCTGTGGGCACAACTAACTATGCCAAGCTACGCTGAACATCGAAAAAAAAAAAAAAACAATACAACTGACAAACCTGTTTAATGCTCTTGCATTGTGCAACAACACATGCTAGTTTTTTAGAGTAGATTTTTGTAGTAGGCACACCTAGTGCCTCTCAAGGACTGTCCAAAATTGTACATTACACATATCATTTTATCAAAAAAAAGCTTTCGCTATTTTTTTTAATTTCCGAGAACATATCGAAAATATCACTTTAAACCTGAACCCTGCGTGCTTACGTAGATGAAAGAATGCTTGTTAGATTTATTCTTCTAATGAGTATCTTGCACATTTATTTGTGTAGTTGGATATGCTGCACTTTTAAATTTTCTAGCGGTGTACTGCATCACAAATCAACTACAACACCAACTGTGGTGCATGTGATGCCTAGTGTGCTGTGCAAATAAGCACACTTATGTTTTATGCAAGGTCTACAAGCGTGCAACTTAATGGCGGGGGGAAGGGGGAGGGGGGTTATTTCTTTTCTTAGTCATGTTTGTATTCACAGGCTATCTTATGTTGCATTTCTGTGAAACATACTTGTAGTGTTCAGAGTGCACCAAATATTTTACTTTTGTTTACTTCAAGGTCACAGCATTCATATCTTAGCTGTCACAGTTTTTGACACTTTTGTCATTCACTGCTATTCCACCTGAGGGGTGATTTCAAGTAGGTATTGTTTTCTGTTGAAATATCCTTATCTTTTTTTTTCCAAGTTACAAGCTTGTTTGGGGTACAGAGTGAAAAAGAAGTTACAATATGTTTTGTTTTCTTATGCAGACATTTCTTCATTTTTCTCATTGTTACTTGCTCGCTGCTACCAAAGAAGTGTTTACAAACTACAGGGGCATCATTGGGCATAACTTTTATGTCAGAATGTTTTAAAGTGTGTTGTACTCATGTGTACTTTGCATTGTTACCTTAGCACATCTCATTAAAACATTGCAAAATTTTGTTTCCTACAAGACACGTTCATTGCAAGCTCATCTCGCATTGTATGTACAAAAACTGTGTGGCCGCATTACATGCCAAGCATGTATCTACAAATTTAGAGCCAAATCAAAACTTCGTCTGAACATTGTAGATGTGTTGAACCTGTGCTTTCGTATCGAGTTGTGCTTCTGCAAGTGGCAGAGCAACACATTATGTGCAAAAAGGGAGATATATGACCCTTCTGCTCCATATTACCATTGACATCAATTGCCTCGGAATACTCTTTATAGTTCAGGTGGCGCACAAACACTAATCTTAAATTTAGCGATTTGATTATTGGTGGACAATATAAAATTATATGGATGGTGAATTGGAGCCTCAATTCTAAACAGTCAAGCTGTCGGAAGCCTGCTGAAAGCCTCTAAATTTACTGCATTTTTGATGCTGTGTAATTGGTAGCTGGTAGCAAAACAGGGAGAACTGCGCTGAAATTTAAAAACATAGAAAGACAGGCGATGACAGCGTCTGTCGTCATCTGTCTTCAGTCGTGGTGGTCTAAATTAGTGCAGTTTTTCTTTCTCTACACAATGAACCAAATTGCCTAAATCTTAGCCCCGATAGCTGGTAGACTGTATATCTGAACAGCAACATGAAGCTAAAGTCGGACCAAGTAGCAATTTTATTCTATTGCTTGCCTCTAACATAATAAATGTTGCTTTTGCATTGGATCAAAACAACTAGGAGGCTATTTTCACTATCTCAGTGTGCTGCACATGCACTCATATTCAGCTATACTTAACGTTCAAATTAATATTCTAAGATCCATGTACTTGCGTGTTTTCCTTAGCAGATTCTTAGTTTATCAACACAGCAGGAAATTGACAAGAATCAGTTCTCTTTGCGTGTATCACTGCAAATAAACATTTGCATAATATTTACTATTGAAGTAGCCTTAATTGAGGTCATGAAATTTGATGTACATTCCAAAAAAATGCATTCTGATCAACGTTGACAGCTCTTTCTGAGCTTGAAACGAGTTGCATAAATGTTGAGATGCAGCCCCGCGTCCCTTGTCTCCCTTTTTTTTTAGCACCCGCAGTAGCTGTTCATTCCGCAGCACTACTACAAAGACGAATCAAAGTTCTGAGCTTTGGATAAAAACCTCTGGCCTTAGTATGATAAGCTAGCAATCTTCCAGTAGGGTTGCTGTGGATTTTTGCCTGCTTGTGAGAGGCTGCTGTCTTGTATGTTGCATTTTGAGAAAGTAATGAGCAAGCGATAGATTTACCAAGCTTGCACTTTAATGTGGTAGTTGGGAGTGGTTCGTTAGAAGTTGATGTAACTAGTGACTGTAGGAGGATATTTAGCAGCTGGAAAAATGTGTGCCAAATTGTTTTGTGCTGTTTGGGTACAAGTTACCATTCCTAGACCTGCATGTTTTATGCAGACTGTACTGTACATAGCAGTCATTGCCTACTGTAGCTTGTGAAGCTTGTATACTCTATGCATAGCCAAGGTGTGTATGACATATGCCTTAGTTTTGTTTGCCTTCTGCATCTTTAACTGGCTTGCTTTTGAGGAACCTCAGGTGAGCAGTCGCATATATTGCTCTTGCCCTCCGTTAATGCACTGGTGTTCATTTTCCTCATTTCGGGGGGAAAAGGCACTTAAATCAAGTTCATCCATTGCATGCAGTACCTTATTTTTTAATTTCTTTTCATGTTCTTTGAAATGTGTTTAGAAATACTGATTCAGGCCTAAGCACACACAAATCAAAAAGGCTTTCTTGGGCCTGACAAAGCCAGACAAATTTTTGATATGATTGATACCTCAGTATCCCGATTTATACTTGACAAAACTTGCCATAAGACCCATTACAGTATACTTGATAGGCTGAAAGATCTCTATTCATGTAGCTCATTGAACTGTTTCCAAAAAAAAAAATTTTATACTTTTTTTTTTCTCCTTGAGGGAAGGATACACAAGTATGCTTTATACTGTCAGATATAACGGTGAATAGCCTATGATATTCTGCAATGTAAATGGCTTTTCAAAGGTAAGCTTGCAGAACTCCTGTGCTTTGCATATTAGTGAAATATGGTTAGAGTACGAAATTGCTTGTACATAGAAGTTTCCATTAAATTTTGTTAGGTGCAAAAGCAAAAGATGAGCCATCAATCAAATATTCTTGAGCCCTTTTTTCTTGCATGTATTTGGTTATTTGCTTCTACTTTATTTTTGATAGTTGCTGCTATCTGGTCAGCCTTGTATAGAGAACAAGGTGTTTGTTCTCATCAGTTCTCATTGAGCTTCAAAAATTGAAAGCCAGCTACATTTCACCCAAAAGAGGCCTGCCTATTGGCACTGGGCATCAACACAAAATATGCAATTTAACATTTTATAATAAAAGCCTTTTCATGCAGCTACTGCATGCAAACAGAAGGGACTACTGCATTTTTTTTTTCGTGCTGAGACTGCAGCTAGGTGAATTATGTGGAATGCACACATTCAAAGTGTAGGATGCTTTAGACATCAAGCAATATAACTCTACCGCTGCTATATGTGTGAAGGCTTTGTCCAAATGATATAATTCATTGCACTTGTATGTCTGTTTTTAAAAATGAAACCTTAGAGTTAACTTGTGAGGCACCTTTTAACACCATCTTGCATGGGCACGTACAGGATGATATACAATTGGGAGATATGCTTCATAGTACTGTGCCAGATAAAATTTCAGATCTTTTATGTTGAGTAAAAAAAAAAAAGCTAACAATATGACCTTTTCGGTTACCTGCGGTAGTAAATTAGCGTGCTCTGCTTTATGACAAATTTCTGCTTCTAAGGACATTCAAATGCTCACAAGGTGTTTCCTTAAGTGTATCTTTGCCGCATGCGAAAGGTCTTTTTGTGAAATTTTTGTTGGACACTTATGGGAAATGTGCAACTCGTCAAATATTCCCACTGCTCTTGGTTTCGTGCCATTATTATGGCGCTCTTCAGAAAAGCTGTTCATGTCGTTATTGTGTGACAATGTATTTAATTTGTACTAGCTGTTATACATGCCTATTTCATTGTAATGGTAATCTTGCAACATAATACTTATACTTACTCCTAAACATTGCTGTGTGGTATTACTGCAAATGCTTGTGTCCAACCTTTTCTTTTTGTGCTTCTAAGCTGGGCTATGTTGAGCATATTAACATTCTAGACAACAGGACAGATGCTGAATTTGCACTGCATTTTTTCCCTCCGAATTGGTACTAGTGATTTTTATAAGTGCAATAATGTAGTGCTTTTTTTCCTCTGCAAAAAAAAAAAAACAAAAAATTAGACCAGATTAGTCCAAGAGTTCTCAAAAAAGGTGTATGCATGCTTCAAGAAAGCACAAACATACGTCCTAGGCCTGGTCTGCTCAACTATGCACGTGCTTGCTTAGCTGAACAGCTGCTCTATCAATACTGCAGAAGTTCACCAATATGTTTCTAGCTAAGAAGCTTTCTTGGTTGCATTTTCAGTGTAGCCCAGTTTCTGCGAAATACTAGAAGAATTCCACTAGAACTTTTTGTGTCACAGTCAAACATTCATTTGCCTTGAACAAAAATTTCCACTCATGAGAACTAATTCATGACCCTTTAAATTTGTAACTTAGCCACATAGTACAAGGCAAATGGGCATTTGTGGTTGGTTAGTTGTGCATAATGACAAAAATTACCATGAAATAGTGTTAAAGTGAATTTTCCCTACACAATTGCATGGAATGTTTCCCTATATTCAGTTTTAACTATGCTAAAGCTGGTACAAAAGCAGAGCTGGACTATGCACAGTGTTAGCACAGTCCTCCAATGCTTGGAGGACTCTTGTGTTAGCTATGCACTGCTTCCTGCCATCTGAAGCAATGGTAAGCAATCGTGCACCTTCTTTAAACTGCACATACTTCTCAGCCTTCCTAGTTAGTGCCTCTGTTATGCTTTTTTGTAGCCCATTTTTGAAACTCTAGTGTGAGTGGATGGCTAAGGGATAATTTACCTGTTTACAATGTAACATGTCTCATATATTTTACGACAAGCAAACAACAGACAGCATCCCTATAATCATGTATGTGTAATTTCGTGTTCCATTGTTTTAACTTAGCAAATGTTGGCATTAACTTTACTTACACTGTTGCATGAAATGTTTTTGGCTTGCTGCAACTTCCCTGTAACCAGTATATGTTAAGTTCAGTGGCGAAAATAAAGACACTGGAAGGCACCAAGCTTTGTGTTGCATCTTGCATTGAAACGAAAACCATGACTATGTTACTGTGATGTGTGGACCATTCTTCTTTGCAGGCATGAGTTTCATGGATCAGCAGGAATGTTTTGAAAATTCATAGAGTAAACTGGTAGCATAATTTTGGGATATCTGAAGTTAAAAGTGGTATTATTGCAGGATTTTTTCCACCCAATACAGCAAACTATTCACAGTAAACAAGAAATGTTAACTGAAGTCAGTCAGGTAAGACTGGCTACCATTTGATCGGAGCCGATTACACATAAGATCAAACATTGCATGACTCATCTGATGTGTATGTTGTCGATACACTGCTTTAGACAATTATGGTTAAGACATTGGGGTAACCTGTCTGAACTCTGTTCCTCCTGTATGATCACACACACACACAAAAATTAGCTTCACCAAGGTAGTACCTCATGATCTGAGATTGGGACTGTTGGAGTGCTTGTACACTGTGTGAATCTTAGTCGGAGCTCAATGATATGCACAATGGTCATGTCATGTGGTGAAATGGTGATAGAAAACTGTGGCAACTATATTGCGGGTATAAAATTCAAATATTCAGGTCTCGCATAATACTACAACAGAGATTAGAAATTAGCATTTTTAATGGAGGCAAAATAGTAGAGGACCATGTACTGTGCAATGTCAGTGCACATTAAATAACACTGTGGCATCTCTCATGATCGTATGGTGGTTTGGGACAAACAAAAAATATTACTAAAATGAGAAATCTAAAGAAATTAATTGACAGAAGACAGGCCTATAAATGGACAGAAGACACATTTTTGCTAGGAACACCTCTATGCAAAGATGATGAATGTGAGTGGGCCTAAACCGAAATCCTGTACACTCCCTCAACCAATCTTTGCACGAGCATGTGCACAGCGTCAAGATTAAGACAAGCGTAGCAATCTAGCAGTTCTTGATGCGAGGCATCACTCTTCACGCCTTCTGGGAATGTGTGTCGAGAAAGTACAAAGATCACACTGCTTTGGAAATATTCGCGGCCTTTTCAATGTTTCGAAAGAAACACCTAAGTGCCTGATTTGCAATAATGAGCTTAAGTTTCTTAGAAGTTAATCTTTTGTAGCCTGCTCTATCTCGTATTTTCGTGCACATTTGATTTTGTGGTTCTAGGTTGCGTGACATGTTTAGAGCAAGACCTGCTTGATGAGGACTCTCCTTCATCTTCTCCGCTTTGTCTCTTGGCCTGTGGTAAATTAGCATACATTTGCACAGGCATCAATAAGCATGTTATTGACGTTCAGCACTTGTCCTGTGCTTTTCCATGCCAGTGTCTTTAGGTGCTGTTTACAATACACAATTCGTACTAACTAGTTTACTTCAACACTCCTCTAAAGCAATGATACCGTACTACATAAAGTACTTGGGATCTCGAGAACACAACCAGATGTCTGCACATGTGGAACAAACCCTTGTGAATTGATCCACCTCCCCCTAGGTTTCTGACTTTGTAAGCCATATTTAGATTGGCCACCTGTTACGATTTGAACATCCCCTGCTGTGGTAGCTTAGCAGGTAATGTGTCACACTAATAAGCTTGAGGAAATGAGCTAAATTCATGGCCATGGCGTTTACATTTTGAAGGGGTCAAAAAGTAGGGACACCCATTTACTTAGACTTAGCATGAACAATCCCGGCTAGCCAAAATTAATCTAGAGTTGCTATCTACGGCGTTCTCATAATCACACCTGAACCACACAGCAAGTGTTGCAAACAGTGCTTTCGGCCGAGAGCTGTTGTAATTTGAATTAGCACAGGCACTGCTGAAGGATGGTGCAGCACTGGCAGACAATTGCTGTTCTCGTCTCCACAATCGTGATGTCTAAATCACTCCATGCTAAGAAATTTATACAAGTTTTCAAAGTGCAGCAGCAAGGAAAACATAACAAGAAGTAATGCATGAATGAGTGCCTAGTAAAAATAGCAACTAGCTCAGACATCATTTGCAATGACAGCAAAACGTAGACTATGATGAAACAGCAATGCCATATGCTACATTAGGATTAAGTATAGCTCGCTGCGCATTTTGCTGGAATACAAACAGCTGAAAAAAAAAACAAAATACTGAATGAATGAACCAATGTATGTATGTACTAGCAATGTGCAAATAGTAATTTTTGAGTTCAAAGCAAATTCAAAAACAATAGTGGTTCAGTGAATAGCATATTTTGAATTGAATTTTGAATGCTACATTTCACATATTATGGAGGAAAATGAGCACATTTGTCATGGCCCATATAACCAGCACAATATTTTTTAGAAGCAAAGCAGCTTATGGCAGAGTTGCATCTGGTGTGCGGCGTGATCACCCTTACTGCACATTTGCGTCCTCCCCTCTGCCACTCTCTCTCTCGAGTCTCCAGCGAAGGCAATGAAACATTTCCTCAGCAGCGTGGCATCCAAACCTACACTGTGCATGCACCCCCCTCCCTCTCCCTCCTCTCCTACGCTCCCGATTGAAGCGCTCTTCACGTTTCCGTGAGACAGAGCGCATCGTGCTTTTTTCGCAGCCGTTGTTCATCAGTCTTGCCGCGTTCAACGTTTCCGAGAGATAAAGTGCATCTGCTTTGGTTTGCACGAGATCACGTTCGCTGTCTCTGACGCGTGCATTGAGAGACCGGCTGTTTACAAGTGCTAGAGTCATGGTCACCAGCAAGAAGTGATCATCACTGGTAGCAATAGGTAGAGGTTCCGAATGGCGGTGCACGTGCTTAAAGCGATGTAGACGAGTTTCTGTGCGTGGCATTCACAATCTTCCTGCTGCTTCGCATATACAGATGGTTCCCTTTAGCGGTAGATGGTGTATATATATATTTTTTAATTGAAACAAAGCTAGCGTGAATGTCGTACGTTTTGATTCGAAGTGAAGTGGAAGCAACTTAGAGTTAAATTTTTATCTGCAATATTGTTTACTTGTAGATTTCTGTTGTTTTATGCAGCATTTATTTAACAGATCATTAGTTTTTGGTGCCGTGCTTCTCTTTAATTCTGATTTGTGTATTGCTTTGTTTTTACAGTTCAAACAACTGCTAATCCTATTCTTCATTTGCAACCCTCTAATTTCAGTCTTGCGCTTAGATGGGACATTCGTCTATATTTTACACTCTGTAATCGTCTTGTTAAGTCATAATAAAAACTGCTTGATTAATTGAATAGTGGTAGGATTTGAATTTTAAGAGGATGCAAGTGATGGTTCAGCGAACTGGGAGCGCGGGGGTAAACACAGACAAAAAGCAAAAAGGCACACAGCACGAGCGCTCAACTAGTTGAGCACTCGTGCTGTGTGCCTCCTCTTTGCTTTGTGTCTGTGTTTACCCCCACGCTCCCAGTTCGCTGAACCATCATGAATTACCAACTAGCCCACCTTTCCATCCTATTGCGATGCAAGTGATGACCGGAAAAATACATTGTCTTGAAATTTCAACGTAGAGCATATAAGCCTGCTTAACAAGCCATTCAACATAAGAAAAAACAATCGATGTGGGTATTATGTCCATTAAACCTCAAAATGAAGTTTCGCAAGGATACAGTATATATATATATATATATATTTGGCAGTGACTATGGTGACAGGGCTTGTCAGTGCAGTACTATCGTTTAAGTGAGGGCACACATTAGCGTAGTGTAATCGTAACAATGACAGGGGCCCGTCACTGTAGTGCAACGGCAAAAATGAGGTGGGAGGGGGGGGGGGGGGGGAGCGGGTATTGCTGTAAATATTTAGTAGTTTTAAACGCCTCCGCCTAGCTGTTCTGGTAGCTTAGTGGTTTGACGTGCAGTTGGGGATGCGGTCGTGCCGCAGGTTGTTTGTTTGAATCCCGCTTTGTTATTCAAGAAGGCAGAATTTTGCTTTTTTGCAAGAAAATCACATCGCTGTTTGTGCCTGTTGCTAGCCCTACCGCATTGATTTTTTGAGGCACAGTTCAACTTCAGTTAGAGTTCGAGGCGCAGTGCGACTTCAGTTCGAGTCGCTCTGACCAACTTAACTTTTTTTTTCCTTTCTGCTTTCAATATTGTTTCGTGTAATGTTGCCTATTTTAAAGACAACATCCTACAGTGCAGCAATGGGAGGAGCTGCTGGACAGCAAGAACCTGATCAGCTGAGTCAATTAAGGTTCTCGCTGACGGACCCGGCTCGCTGTGTGGCAGCTGCCGCAGAGCCCTGGTCTGAGCTCCACCACCGCGAAATCTACTGCAGTACTGCAAGTGTACCGAGTTTTCACCGCCACCATTAAAAACGTATGCCCAGGCACTACCGCATCGAGGCAATTCATTACTACAGCCACATAATGATGTAATTATGAGGTGGCCCGTTTTAACAATGCTGCCCATAGTGACAGGCCTCGACACAGTGCTGCTGGTTGTGCTATTACTGAAGTGATTGAAGTTTTTATTTGTTTTTTTCTTTGTTGCTGTGCGTGATGACTGCGCTCAAGCTTGCTACATGTGTCTACTTTCTCTTATCGTAGAATACATCGATGCTGCTAGATGCACATTCACTCTTGCTCACTCATTTCATCGGTTTGGTCACATCTTGTGGTTTACCCAAGCCCGCAGTTGTCACTAGCCAGCACTTGTTAATTAAAGCATCCAGACGACCAGTCACACCCACGACTTCGGCACGCTCACATGTCATTCGCCGAAAACGACACAGAACACATTTCGTTTCCGCAGTACAAGCGTGGTCTCGGGATGGGAAGACAGCTACAGAGAGAACACCCCCATGCGAGTATATACTGCATCGTAGAGAGCTCGAATGTCTATCTAAGTTTGCAGCAATAGTGCATATTCATAGGACGAAAGCAACGTGCATATCGCCTTGTTTCAAGGAGCAGATTCGATCACATGAATAAGCCCGAGTATGCGATTTCAGGCAAATAGGCCCGAAGTCGGAGCTACAAGTATTGTAGTTATATGTATTGTGGTTTTGGAACTTGAGATCTGCTGCCTTCA